CCTGACTCGACTAGACAACAACTACCTCTTTATTCTGGTAGATGTTTGTACATACATGGAGTCCTGGTGTGGTGCTGTAGGTTTAGCAATGGACTGCCATCCTCAAAGTTGGCAGTTCAAACCCACCAGATACTCCTTGGAAATCCTACAGGGTCACTATGAGTCAGATCTGACCTGAGGGCATGTAACTACAGAAATGTACATGCATAAAAACATGTTAAGTGCCATCGAGTCGGTTCCAACCCATAGTGACTCTGTATAGGGTTTCTGAGGAGCGGCTCAAATCTACCCAGAGGTGCCCCTGAAGGAAGGCCTGGGGATCTACGTCTGAAAAGTCACAGCCATTGAAAGAAAATTCCTGGGAGTACAGTTCTGCTCTGAGGCAGAAGGGGTCGCCATGAGTCTGAATCAATTGGATGACAAAATCCCTCACTGGCTTCTTGCCAGTGGAAACCCTGTGTTTACTTTGGCAACTGATGACAGCAAGTATATGAAAACAGAATAAATACAAGGGGTGTCATGCTCAGAGCTTTGCCTGCCATCTGCCACTTAGTCGATAGAATAACCTCAGGAAACAGCACCTGTTATCACCTGTTCACAGAAAAGGAAACAAGAGATCTGGTGTGTTTGAGCAGCCTGCCTGCATTCTAACTCAAGGTTCACAGCTGAGTCTTCCTGACTCCACAGCCCACTTGACAAACCCATCCCTCCACATTGCCATCCTAAAAGAAGGGCAAATCCAACCTTCCTTTTCCCTTATGCTGCGAAGAGGCCACCTTCCTCTCTCATAACCTCTGATACACATGCTCTCCAACTTTGCACAGTCCCAAACTCTTCCCACACTGATGATCTCTCACTACAATGGCAAATTTGAGGACTGGATTTGTGATTTGCTCTTCTTGGTCAAACAGGGTATATCGAATAGTGAGATTACAGTTGCCATACGTCACCTCTGACTCATGACAACCTTCTGTACAACAGAGCAAACATGACGTGGTTCTGCACCTTCCTCACGATTGCTGCCAACTTCAAGCCCATTGTTGTGTCTGTGTGTCTGTTCATCTCACAGAGGGTCTCTCTTGCCCCCACTGGCCCTCTACTTCAAGGAACCTCTACCCCCTCTACCAAGCGATCCCTCTTGATGATGTGCCCAAACCAAGCAGGTCAGACAATGTTCTGCTGTGATCCATACGGCTTCATTTTCAGAAGTAGGTTGGCAGTTCCGTCAATGTTCTGTCGTAGCTGCTTTTGAACAATCTTTAGCAAAATTTTACTTGCATGCGATATTAATGACATTGTCCAATGATATCCACATTCGGTTGGGCCACCTTTCTGGAATGGTCACAATTATGGATCCTTTCCAATCAGCTGGCCAAGTAGTTGTCTTCCAAATTTCTTGGCATAGATGAGTGAGTGCCTCCAGTGCCACATTAAGATTGTTGAAATATTTCCATTTGTATTCCATCAATTCCAGGAGCTTTGTTCTTTGCCAATGTCTTCAGTACACCTTGGACTTGATCATATGCTACCTCTTAAACGTAACTGCCGTTGTGTCGGTTCTGACTCATAGCAACCCTGTATAGTGTTTCCAAGGAGCAGCTGGTGAGTTTGAACGCTTACCTTGTGGTTTGCAGTCCAGAGCTGATCCTGCAACACCACACCAGGAGGCTCTATGTTGTTGTGAAGTGCCATCGAGTGGATTCTGACCCATAGCGACCCTGTATAGGGTTTCCAAGGAGCAGCCGGTGAGCTTGAATTGCCGACCTTGCAGTTCAAATGGTTTTGCAGTCTGGCGCATTAACCCACGGCACCACATCAGGGTCTTTCCATATTATCCACCCTAGGTTGTTGTCTGCTGTTGGGTAAGTTCTGACTCATAGGGTTTCCGAGAGCAGCTGATGGATTAGAACTGTCAAACTTGGGGTAACCAGTCCAGTGCTTATCCTACAGTGCCATGCCATATACCTCCTTTACTACCCTTTCAATTCCCCACAGTTCCGTTACCTTTCCCCAACACATAAAGGATGTGACTATGTGATGGGGTGGGAGCCAAGGAAGGAAATGGCATCCACTGAATAATTATCCTGGAGTGGTCATTAGGTCTACAGCTTAACAGAACCTCCCCCACCCCCACCCCAACTAAACCTGTTGTCATTGAAACAGAGTCTGACTCAAATCCCCCACAGGACAGGGTGGCACTGCTGCATTATTAACAGAAGTCAACTGCCACCAGAAGTGGCTGGTGGGCTTGAACTGGCAACCTTCTGGTTTGCAACCAAGCATTTAACCACTGCACCACCAGAGCTCTTTATGCTGATAATACCATATGTTTAATTTATGTTCAAAACACCCATGTATGGCTGACAACAATTAATAAAACAGCAATCTCCAGGCCATGGGCCAGACCAAGACAAATACTGTACATGGCCAGGTCCCTGTCTACTTCTCCAATTTCATCTCGTGGTAATCTTCCCTTTGCCTCCTAAATTTTAGCCACACTGATCATTTCTCAACACTTTGAACACACCATACCCCATGCCCCAGGACCTTTGTATATGCTGCCCTACCTTCCTGGAATGCTCTAATGTTGGCAGAGTATCCTTCTGGTCTCAGCTTGAATGCCATATGCTGACAGGCCTTCCCTTCCCTGACTCTAACACAGGCCTTTCCATAAAGCTCCTAGTCTACCAGCCTATGGTTGCTTTCAGTCTGTAAGCAGTTGGCAATTGTTTTATTTGCTTGATGGTATGCCTACTTTAAGTCTGGCTTCCCTGGAGATGAATATCTTCTTGAAGTCGAGACCCTGTCTATTTTATTCATTGCAGCATCTTTGGCACGGAGAGGTACTGGATAACTCATTTTGACAGGCGGCATGGTGTACTCAGAGAAATAACTTGTCCAAAGCTAAGCAGCTAATGCGTCCTGGGGCCAACAGTGATGTCCAGTTCTGTGCTACCTGCATGAGCTGGGGATGAGTTTGACGTCAGCTCCCACATCTCCACCAGCCCATGTGTCCATCTCTCAGCACCAGGGCCAGGACTAGAGCCAGGAGAGTGAGGCATACATCTTGGTCACAGAATTTAAGGGGATGCCAAATACTCAGTCATCAAGATACATAATATTTGTACAAATTTAAATTAATGCCAAAAAATCCACAGTGAACAAAATATCAAAGTGTCAAATAAAGACTTGTATACCAAGCTTCACTAAAGCATTATTCACAGTAACCCATAGGTTGAAACCATCCCAGTGTCCATCAGCTGATGAAATGATGAACAAAAGGTAGGACACACATCCAATGGCTATTCCTCAGCTGTAAAAAGGAATACATTTCTCATACATTATATGATATGGAGGAACCTGGAAACCATTATGCTGAGTGAAATAAACCAGACACAAAAGGTCAAATATTGTATGATTCCACTGACACAAAATGTCTAGAATAGACAACTGTATACAGACAGAAAGCAGACTAGAGGTTACCAGGGGCTGGAGGAAAGGGAGGAGAGGTAGCTATTGTTTAAAGGGCACTCACTTCTGGGGAGGTGGGGGGACTGATAAAAAGTTTGGAAACAGACTGGTAAAGGTTACACAACATTGTGAATGTAATTAATGCCACTGAACTGTAGACTTTAAAGTGATTGAAATGGCAGATTTTATGTTATATATATTTTACCACAAACATTAAAATCTAGGGCCAGTGAGACATTTTATTTAATAAATTTTGATAGTCATTCACCATGATTTTTATTTTCCATTAATTTTTATTTTTTACATCTCACACAACAACAGTACTAAGCTTGATTATTGAGGTTTTTGGAACTGCCTTGAGTTGTTTTGTGTCCAAGGTGAATGCCTTGCTTACCGTACTGAAGCTCATCTGGGTGGGGGCTTGGTTCTCATAGGCAGCTAGCTGCCTGAGGCCTATTAGCAGTAGCAAATGTCAGGCCCATCATGGAAGTATCTGGAAGCTGAGCTCTACTGAGAGGCCCAGGACCCTGGATGATCCATTACTGCCATCAGTGTCCCTGCCCTGGGGCATCGCCCTCCTTCCTCCTGAGAGTCTAGGAAGGACAGCATGGCCGTGCCTCCAGGTTCCAATTTTCCAGAGGGACTCAGGAAAGACAGAGACTATTACCGCTCACCCTTGTGTCTCAGGACCATCTGCTTCTTGCAGCAGGAAAGGGACAGAGGAAGAGAAGGTGCATGGGCCAAACAGGGGGCAGCACAGAGAGGACTTGCTGTGTTTGCACACCCAGCACCTCAGAACCCCCTGGGCCACCGCTCCTTCCTTCTTGCCCTCTTTCAGCTGGTCTTACTAAGCTGGTGGGATGCAAAGGAAGATGCCAGAGGCCACATGACAAAGCTCATTAGAAGTGAAGTCAACACAGGAAAGAAACAAAACGAATCTAACCCCTGCTGCTGAGTTCATTCATAGTAACCATATGGGACAGAGTAGAGCTGCTCCCTAGGGTTTCTAAGGCTGCAAATTTTTACAGGAGCAGATGGCCTCATCTTCTTCCTGTGTAGTGGCTGGTGAGTTCAAACCTTGGGTCTTGCAGTTAGCAGCACGATGATTAACCCACTGCACCACCAGGGCTCCTTCAGCTCAGGAAAGCCCAGTCCAAAGATGGATCACTGGTTCCTGATGACACAAGCTGAACCCCTGAATCCAGCTTTGCCTGGACTTAGCTTTTCAGCTACACTAAAAAAGCCACTTATTGGCATGGACTTGTTTTTAACTCACAGTGACCCTGTGGAGTTTATGGGAGCAGAAAGCCTCATCTTTCTCTCAGGGAGCAGCTGTGGGTTTGAACCAGGGACCTTCAAGCTAGCCAAGATCCAGTGCATATCCTAATCAACTGGGCTCTTCTCCTTGGTTATACAGTCTCCCCCAAACTCCTTATTGTTGAGATGAAGTCTTGCCACGCATTGTATTTTTTTCAAGCAAGAGAATCCTAACACTCCTATCTTCCGTGGCCAGCCCAGCACACATTTACCTCCTTCTTCATCAGTTTGAGCTGTTCTTGGAACCTGGCGTAGTCTCGCTCCTGGTCCAGGCGGATCCGCTTGGCCTCCTCCCGGCGGCGCACACCATGGTCTTGTTCCATCTTCTCTACTTGCTGTTTCTGCTGACGCTCCAGGTTCTCCAACTCGGTGTCAAAGAACTTTTTCTTGGACTGGAAAGAACGGAAAGAGAAATTTAGCAAAATCACTTTATAGCTGGTAGGAAGGTGGGGAGAGCTCAGAGTTTGCATGTTATACTTGGGTTTGAGTCCCAGCTTCACCATTTCTGTGTGACCTGAGTCAAATGACTTAGCCTCTCTGACAAGTCTCAATTTTCAGACTATCGCCCTTGCACAGTTGTGGGTGGTGTTCGACAAAGGTTATTTCCCCTCTATCCTCCCATGTGACTCAGAGGATCACCGGTCACGTGATTTAAACATGTGTTTACAAGTCAAGGCTTAATAAGATTTTGAAACCATGGGAATTGGACATCTGTCATGAATTACTCTCCACTGCCCAATTATCCCTGGCTCTCACTTAAAAGAAATGGAGGGAAAAAGCTCTGCAGGAATGATCTTTCCTCACTCACGTTGATTTCTTGTTCAAAACGTTTCTGCAACTGCTCTAGCTGTAGCTCATGCTTGTTGCTCAGCTGGGTCTGGTTCCGATGTTCTTCCTTCTGGAGCAACCGGAGCTCTCGGAGTTCCTGGCGCCTGCAGGATTAAAGTATGTGGACATTCACAACCAGAAAGTGGTCTCAGGGATCATCTAACTCAGACAGGGAGACTAAGGGCTGGAACATGGAAGAGCACCACACGAGTCAGGGGTAGGAACATGACTAGAATCCAGGCCTCACTGGACACATAGCAACAGACAAAACATTAGTCATCTTCATATGTAAAGAGTATTTAAAAATCAATAAGACAAAGATGAACATACCAGAAAAAAAGTGGTTTATAACACAGACATGAAACAAAAGATGAAAAAAATTAAAATTACATGCACTATCAAACATCTGGATAAACACTAGACTGCCAAGTGCAAGGCCAGTTGGTGATTAAAATCCAGTAACTGCCCCTCGGAAACCCTATACAGGTTGCTATGACAACAAATTAAACATATTTAAAAATGCACAGACAGATGATAAACTAGATGACTGAGATCTCCTAAAAATTAAACATGTATGTGCATCAAAAGACTTCACCAAGAGAATTTTATAAAAAGAGAACCTATGTGTTTAAGAGCAAAGATGTCAGCTTAAGGACTAAGGTGCACCTGACCCAAGTCAGGGTATTTTCAATAACCTCATATGCATGCGTAAGCTGGATAGTGAATAAGGAAGACTGTAGAAGAGTTGATGCTTTTAAGTTATGGTGTTGGAGGAGAATATTGAAAGTGCCATGGGCTGCCAAAAGAACCAATGGATCTTTGTTGGAAGAAGTGCAACCAGAGTGCTCCTTGGAGGCCAGGATGGCCAAACTTCGTCTCTCATACTTCAAATATATTGTCAGGAGAGACCAGTCACTAGAGAAGGATATTATGTTTGGTAAGGTGGAGGGTCAGAGAAAAAGAGAAAGACCCCCAGCAAGATAGATTGGCCAAGTGGCAGCCTCAATGGGCTCAAGTGTGGCAACAATTGTGAGGTTAGCACAGGATCAGGCAGTATTTCGTTCTATTGTGCATATGGTCGCTATGAGTAGATATAGACTCAATGGCACCTAACAACAACAACAACAAATATACTGGGTAACAATTTTAGCAAAGAGATATCAGCAAGTGACTAATCTCTAAAATTTATATAAATCTTCAACACATCAACAACAACAAAATAAACAATCCAATTAAAAAATGGGCAGAGGACACGAACAAACACTTCATCAAAGAAGACATCCAGGTGGCCAACAAACATATGAAGAAATACACATGATTGTTGTTGTTATGAGGGCTCATTTTCTGGCACTATATGTGACAGTGTTTCTCTGCTATTCATAAGGTTTTCAGTGACTAAATATTTGGAAGTAGTTCGTCACTCCTTCTTCCTAGTCTGCCTTTGTCTGGAAGCTCATCTGAAAGCTGTCCACCATGGGTGACCTTGCTGGTATTTCAAATACCGGTGGCATAGCTTTTAGAATCACAGCAACTCACAAGCCACCACAAACCTGACAGATGAGTGGTGGTGATTAGCCATTGTTGTTGTTGTTGTTGTTGTGTGCTGTGGAGTCGGTTCTGACTCATAGTGACCCTGTACAGGGTTTCTGAGGCTGTAAATCTTTACAGGAGCAGAAAGCCTCATCTTTCTCCTGCAGAACAGCTGGTAGTTTTGAACTGCTGAGCATGAGGTTCACAGCCTGATTCGTAACCACTATGCTACCATTAGCCATTAGAGAGATGGAAATCAAAACAACAGGAAATATCATCTTGTGGGTGAAACTGTAAAATAGTGCAAGCTCATCCACGCCCACTGCAGCACTGTTCACAATAGCAAAAAGAGGGAAACGCCCTAAGTGCCCATAAATGGACGAATGGATTAACAAACTATGGCGCCTACACACAATGGAATACTACATACGCTCAGGAACAACAATCTATGAAACACCTCATAACATGGATGAACAGGAGGACATTGTTATTGTTGTTCTTAGGTGCCATCAAGTTGGTTCTGACTCCTAGTGACCTTATGTGAAACAGAGCAAAACACTGCCCGGCCCTGCACCATCTTTACAATGGGATACTTGAACCCACTGCTGTTGCCACTGTGCCAATTCATCTTGCTTGGGGTCTTCCTCTTGTTTGCTTTTGCAGTAATCCATAGTACCTTTAGCATTATTCTCCAACACAATAACTTAAATGCATTAATTCTTTTACAGTCTTCCTTATTCACTGTCCAACTTTCACATGCATATGAAGCCACTGAAACTATCTATCATGGCTTGGGTCCGGCACACTTTAGTCTTCCAACAGACCCTGAGAACTTGATGTTACTACCACTCACTATGAACTGCTCTGAGAGGGACCACGTTAGAAGGTCATAGAAAGAGTGGGAGAAACATGTGGAACAAAGTTCAAAATCATCAGAAAGACCAGACAGAGACTGGTGGAACCCCTGAGACTATAGTCCTTAGACACTCTTCAGGTCTGGTATTGAACTCAACATCTGGTTCAACTTTCAACCAAATGACAAGCAGACCTGTAAGGTGACCAAGAACACCAGGGAGATATGCGCTCCTTAGAATGACCAACCATAGGCGATCCAAAGGGCAGCATGTTTCTCAGGATAAAGCTCAGAAAAGAAGGATGAATGGAAATCGTAAACCTCGAGAGGAAGTAGGCAGAGTGCAGTTACATTGTGGGGACTGCAATCAACGTCACTAAGTGTGTATAAATTGTTAAATAGAAAACCAGTTTGCTCTGTAAACTTTTACCCAAATCATGTCTTCTACCCCAAAAAGTTTAAAATGCTTTTAAAATTACTTATAAGGACACACAATACAATATTAAAAAGAAATATTTTCTTTAAATCATTAAGATTATAACAGAATTGGATATTTTCATATACTGCTCTTAATATAAATTGGTAAGACATCAGTGGAGGAAAATGTAGCAACATGTTCATGCTCTTTTACATAATAGTTTCACTTCTAGATACTGAATCTAAAGAAATATTCAGAGATGTACAATTCAATAGATTATGGATGTTTAGAACAACATTATGTATCATAAGCTGGTCCCTCAATATAGTTCAAATGAAACAAATTAAAATACAGCCCCATGCTAGAATTCTACAACCACTAAAAATAAAGTCTTGGACTTGTTGGGTTTTAGTGCTGTTGAGTCTGTTCGGACTTAGAGCAATCCAGTATAGGGCTTCTGATGAATGGCTGGTGACTTTGAACCACCAACCTTGCAGTTAGCAACCCAGTGCTTATCCTACAGTGCCACATTAGGCTACATGGGGTCAAACTGGCAATAGCAACTCAAAATGTTAGGCAAGAAGCTTAGTGGGCAGTGAGTTTATATTAATGGAGGAGAAACAATTCAAGAAAAGGACAGTGAAGAGGGTTGGACAGCTCAAATCTGTGTCACTAAATTGTACATACAGAATGTTGAACTGGTACATGTTCTGCTGTGTATAATATACTGTCAACAACACCAACAAATAAAACAAATTCTTTTAACACACCATGTTTTATGCAAATATTAAATTACATTGGGAAAACATCTATCACAAATATGATAACTTGGGGACTTTCAGCAAGATGGCAGAAACACTGCACGGACCCTCTACAACAAAGATGTTGTTGTTAAGTGCCACCAAGTCGGTTTCGACTCATGGCAACCCCATATACAGTTTCCAAGGAGTGGCTGGTGAGTTTGAACCACCAGCCTTGTGGTTCAAACAAACCACGGGGTCCAATGCTTTATCCCACAGTGCCACACCAGGACTCTATCTAATAGATGTTAATTTTATAAAAGGAGCACTCAATAGTTAAAATACTGGTAGGATAAGCCCTAAAGTGTTAACTGTGTTTCTTTCTGGGCAATAACATTAAAATGTATCATTTATGTAATCAGTATCCTTCTACCAAATTTATTCAATCTGTATGTTGAGCAAATAATCCAAATAGCTGAACTATATGAAGAACATGGCATCAAAATTACAGGAAGACTCATTAATAACCTGCAATATGCAGGTGACACAACCTTACTTGCTGAATGCAAAGAAAACTTGAATCACTTACTGACGAAGATCAAACACTACAGTCTTCAGTATAAATTACACCTCAACATAAAGAGCCCAAAATCCTCCCACTGGACTAATAAACAACATCATGAAAAACAAAGAGAATACTGAAATTGTCCAAGGATTTGATTTTTCTTGGATTCACAGTCAATGCCCATGGAAGCAGCAGTTAAGAAATCAAACAACATACTGTGTTGGGTAAATTTGCTATAGAGAATGTCTTTAAAATGTTAAAAAGCAAAGATGCTACTTTGAAAATTAAGATGCCCCTGACCCAAACTATGGTATTTACAATTACCTCATATGCACACAAAAGGTGGACAATGAATAAGACAGACAGAAGAATCCCGCCTTTGAATTATGGTATTGACAATCAGCCAGAAGAACGAATAAATCTGTCTTGGAAAAAGTTTACTCAGAACACTCCTTAGGAGCTAGGACGGTGAGACTTCATTTCATGAACTTTGAACATGTTATCAGGAGGGGCCTGTCTCTGGAGGACTTTGGTTTGGTAAAGTACAGAGTCAGTTCAGTAAAGGAGGACGACCCTCAAGATATGAATTGGCATGGTTACTACAGTAATGTCTTCAAGCATAGCAATGGCTGTGAAAACGACACAGGACCAGACAGTGTTTCCTTCTGTTATATACAGGGTCACTGAGTAGGAATGGACTCAACAGCACCTAACAACAACATGTAATCAGAAAAGAAAAACAAACTTAAAAGCTGCAGAAAGAAATCGGGCCTCCTGACTTGGATCCTGGCAGTTCAGAATTGGGTTGACATGGCTTGGGTTCTAATCTAGTGCCCATCAGCTGTCCTATTGGGTGTTCACTCCTGCCCAGTCCTGAATTGGTACAAATGTCCATGGCACTACCCACCACAAGGAAAGGCCTGGCACATTCTCTGCGGTCCATAGGAGGCTGATGTGAATATTAGCTGTCAACTTTGTCAATCTTTGTGACTCTTTACTTCCTCATCTGTAAACTAGGGACACTTAGCTTGACCACTCAAATCCTTTGAGGATTAAACGAAGTCATGCATGTAAAGTACACAAAATCACAAAATTAAAGTTCAGAGGACAATGAGGATGAACAGGTGACCAAGGCAGCTTGTGTCTTTACAGCACATAAAAAAAGCATCTATCTGAGCCACCTGAATCTACAGACCATTTGAAAAACAGACTGAAGCATTAGATACCAATGACTGAAGTCTAGAAGAGCTGTGCATGACCTCAAGAACATCATACAGGAAGTAAGTAAAAGATCATTAAAAAGACAGGAGAGAAAGAAAAGACCAAAATGGATGTCAGAAGAGATTCTGAAACTTGCTCTTGAAACAGAGAGAAGCTAAAGCAACAGAAAGAAATGACAGAGGAAAAGACTTGAACAGAAAATATCAAAGGGTAGCTCGAGGACAAAGTCAAGTATTATAATGACCTGGAGTTAGAAAAGCAAAATGGAAGAACACATTCAGCATTTCTCAAGCTGAAAGAACTGAAGAAAAAATTCAGTCTTCAGGTTGCAATACTGAAATATTCTACGGGCAAAATATTGAATGATGCAGGAAGCATCAAAAAAAAAAAAAAAAAGGAAGGAGAGAATATAAAGAGACATTGTACCAAAAAGAATTGGTTGATTCTCAGCTGTTTTGAGAGGCAGCATATGATCAAGAAACTGTGATACAGGAGGAAGAAGCCCAAGATGGATCAAAGGCACTGGTGGAAAACAAGGCTCCGGGCATTGTGAGAGTACAAATGAAATGTTTCAACAGACCAATGCAGTGCTGGAAGTGCTTACTTATCTCTGCCAAGAAATTTGGGAGACAGCTACCTGGCCAACTGATTGGAAGATATCCATATTTGTGCCCATTCCAAAGAAAGGTGACCCAATGGAATGTAGAAATCATCTAACAATATCATAAATATCACATGCAAGTAAAATTTTACTAAAAATAATTCAGAAACACTTGTAGCAGTGCATTAACAGGGAGATGTCAGAAACTCAAGCTGGTTCAGAAGGGGGCATGGAACGAGGGATATCATTGCTAATGTCAGATGGCTCTTGACTGGAAGCAGAGAATACCAGAAAGATGTTTACTTGTGCTTTATTGACTATGCAGTGGCATTTGCTATATGGACCCTAATAAACTATGGCTAACACTGAGACAGTGGGTATTCTAGAACACTTTATTGTGCTCATGAGGAACCTGTACATAGACCAAGAGGCAGCCGTTGACACAGAACAAAGAGATAATAAATGGTTTAAAATCAGGAAAGGTACATACCAAGTTTGTATCTTTCACCATACTTATTTAAGGAGCTCTGGTAGCGTAGTGGTTACGAATCGGGCTGCGAACTGCAAGGTCAGCAGTTTGAAACTACCAGCTGCTCCGTGGGAGAAACATGAGGCTTTCCGCTCCTGTAAAGATTTACAGCCTCAGAAACCCTGTACAGGGTCACTATGGGTCGGAACCGACTCGACGGCACTTAACAACAACATTTAATCTGTATGCTGAGTAAATAATCTGAGAAACTGGATTATGTGAAGAAGAATGTGACATCAAGATATGCAGGTGACACAACTTGCTTGCTGAAGCAAAGAGGACTTGAAATGTTTACTGGTGAAGATCAAAGACTACAACCTTCAGTATGGATTCTATCTCAATGTAAAGAAAATGAAAATATTTACAACTGGACCAATCAATAACATCATGATAAATGGAGAAAAGATTGAAGATTTCATTTTAGTTGGATCCACAATCAAAGCCCATGGAAGCAGCATTAAAAAAATCAAATGACATATTGCCTTGGGGAAATCTGCTGCAAACTATTTCATTAAAGGGCAAACATGTCACTTTGAGGATTAAGATGCATCTGACCTAAGCTATGGTATTTTCAACTGCTTCAAATGGGCACGAGCAACACCACCCCATCTCCCCAACCCTCACAGGGGAGGACAAGTATGTGTACCTGCCCACCCGCATGCACAAAGGGGCATTGTAACTATCAAAAAGTCTGCTCTACAAAACAATCAACCAAAATTAAGTCCAAAGAACAGCATTTGCCCAAAAATAAAGGTCAGAAGGCAAGAAGGGGCAGGAAAGAAGGACAATGGAAAGGCTATCCCAGACAGGAAGTGAGTAGGGTGTTGTTACGTTGAGGGATTGAATAAACTGTTGAATGGTAAATGAGTTTTCTCTGCAAACTTTCACCTAAACTGCAATGACAACAACAACAAAAGAGTCTGCTCTCATCCGTCTGGTCCCTAGAGGGAAGAAGACTACACGGCACCCTAATTGCTTCTATTTTGTTTTAGACTGTGTGTGGTTTTTGTTTTTTACATTTCTAACATTTTATTGTGGTTTGGGTGAATGCTTACAGAACAAATGAGTTTTCCATTCAATTTTGTTTCATGACATTGGTTGCAATTCCCTCAGCGTAACATTCCCAGATCTTCCCAATTCTTGTTTCCATGTGTCTTTCTAGAACATCAAATACATGAAAGTATGTGTTTGATGTTCTATAAATTTGCTCCAAGCCAGTCTTGAATTTACCCTGTACAGGCCTGGCTCCTGTGGAGCAAGGTGACTCCTTTGTCTCCCTAGCTGGTACACCTTCCCTGGCTGTCCCTAGTTAGCACCAGGCCCAGTACAAAGTCAGTGAAATTCTCATACAGACAGGTCTAGTGTCATGGGTTGAAGCATTGCCCCCAAAGCTATATCCACTATCTAAGCCCAAGAACCTTATTTGTAACAGGGTCTATCCAGATATAATTGAGAATCTTGAGATCATCCTGGATTACGTGGGTAGTCCCTAATTCTGATGACAAGTGTCCTTATAGGAGATACACACAGGAGAGGACAGAGGAAGAGTTCATCATGTGAATCTAGAAAAGTGTGGTCACGTGCCAAGAAATGCCAGGAGCCACCAGAAACTGGAAGAGGTAAAGAAGGATTCTCCCCTAAAAACTGTAGAAGCACAGTCCTGATCACTCTTGATTGTAAACTTCTGGACCCTAGAACTGAAACAATAGATTGCTATGTTCTGAGCCACCAAGTGTGTACCTATACCACAGGAAATTAATATAGCCAATTGCCCCTTCCCAACTGGGAAGTAACTTACCTGGCAAGAAACAGTTTCCTGATTTACAGAACTGTGGAATTATGGTCTCCTTCAGGAGGGTTGTAGTGCTGTAGGATAAGCACTGGACTGCTAACTAAAAAGTTGACGCTTCAAATCTACCAGTCACTCATTGGAAATCCTGGACAGGCTCACTATGAGTTGAAAGTGACTCAACTCAATGGCACTCAACAATAACAAGAGGGTGGTAAAGAGTTCCTGGGTCACACAGATGGTTAAGCACTTGACTTCGAACCAGAAGATTGGTGGGTTGAGTCTACCACAGCTTATCTTAGATGAAAGGCCTAGAAAATCCAGGCATTGAAAACGCCATGGAGCCGAGTGGATGGCCATGAGTCAGAACTGACTTGGCAGCACCTGATTTTGAGTTGGTTGGCTTGTTTAAGGAAGGCTGGGGGAGAGGGCAGTGGTGGCTGAGAGGCAGAGTTCTTGCCTTCCATGTGGGAGACCCTGGTATGTTTCCCGGCCAGTATACCTCACACACCGCCACCACCCATCTGTCAATAGAGCCTTGTGTGCTGCTATAATGCTGAATGGCTTGGACAGAGGTCCTGGACTAAGAGGCAGCCTATTTTAGAATATCAGCTCACAAAAATCCAGTGGATCCCCTGGTCGGATTCTATTATGTGTGAGGCCCCCATGAGTTGGGGGCCAAAATTTACAGCAGCTAATAACGAGGGGGCTATTAGTGGAAAACAGCAACGGAGATGTGCAAAATCTGGTCACACCTCCCTGGTTTAAGCCCTCAGCAAGGCTCACTGGTTTTGCCTCCAAAATGTATACCAAATCCAACCACTTTGTACCTTTTCCTCAGCCATGCCCTGGTACATGCCAACAGCTGGACTGCCCTGGAGGAGGTCTCTAGTCTCGCTGCTCACAGTCAGGCCTTTTGACAACCCCTCTCACAGCTCGTCTTTAAAAAGGGACATCAGAGCTGGTCACCTCCCCCACTGCACCTGGAATAAAGCTACACTCCTCAGTCTAGCCCACAGGCCTGCATGACCTGGGCTTTGCTGACCCCACTGACCACATTCTCTACCCTCTCCCTCTGACCCTTACATTCAGTGCCTTAGACAAGCCAAGGGTCACTTCTCAGAGCCTCAGCACTGCAGTTCCCTCAGGCTCCCTAGTCCTGAGCAGTCTCATCTTCATCCTCTGTCCCAGTCCAGACCTCCTATCATATTGCCTATTCACTATCTCATAAGATTTGCCTCCATCAGAAATTATCTTGTGTGCTGTGTATTGGCCAATTATGGGTCAGTTCTATAAAGGCAACGGACCATCACCATATCCCCAATCTCAGTGTGATGCCTGTGCTCAGTCAGTGTCTATGTTTGGGATAGACAAATAGGCAAATGCATGGATACATGAGTAGATGGGTGGGATGGATGAGTTGATGGATGGATGGAGATGGATGGATGGGTGGGTGGGTGGATGGATGGAAAGATGGGTGAGTGGGTTGGGAGGATGGATGAGTAGATGCATGAATGTATTCATGGACAAACAGTTAGATGGATGGGTGAGTGGACAGATTGGTAGACAGAAACATGAAGACATGGAAGATCACAATCAAAACCAGTTTCCTTTTGTTTCCCTGATCTCTCACACTTGATGCTGCAGACAGATGACCCTCTGTCCATGCTGCATACCCCATATTCACCCCATTACTACCATCAGAGGCCCTTCCCAGACATACCTGAGAAACCTCATCTCCTCATCCTTTTTCTCATCTTCGCTGATGATCTTGGAAGTGGTGATGCTCACCTCCACACCATCCACCACAAACTTCCGTGTCCGTTTGAGAGTCTTCTTGTACAGCCTTGAGTCCTGGTTGGGGAAAATCATTAAGCAAACCTTAGCAGTCCAACTAAGAACTCGCAGATGATACAGGGGGAAACCCACGGCCTTCCTGGTTCTCTAGACTTAGCCTGGCTCAGGGAGGACATGGCTACCTATTGTTCTCTTCTTGTCTCAAGCTTCTCAGACTAAGAGCCTGTGTGTCTGAGCATCCCTCCTTTCCTCTCCCTGATCTTGGTCTTCAAACACTGCCCCAATGCATCCCCACCTCACTGTCAGCATCTCCCAACACACAGAAAGAACTGGGTTCTATTCTACCACGTACTCACTCTGTGGCCTGGACAAGTCTGTTGTCCTGTCTGAATCACAGCTTCCTCACCAGTTAAAGAAGAGTAACAACAGCACTCCCCTCACAGAATAGTAGTTGTTGTTAAGTGCCGCCGAGTCGGTTCCAACACACAGTGACAAGAGCAATTGGTTTGTTTGAACTGCTGACCTTGAGGTAAGCAGTCCAGTGCTTATCCTAAAGCGCCACACCAGGATTCCATCTATGTTACCCGGTGGTTAGGACAAGTCAGTGAGATAACGCATGGGGGGTTACGTGGTGCAGCACCTGGCTCATGGCAAGTGTTACCTGAAAGTTATCATTCCAGGACCCGAATCTCTTGCCAGCAATGCTGAACTCCAATGTGGACAACCCAAAGCTGTTTCATAATTGATCTGGCAGGAAGCCTGACCTGGCCTGAACTCCTAGGTGGAACTGCCACTAGTTACTCACACTGTTTACCTTTGCTATGAATAATCATGCATTTCACATGCTGTTTATAGAGGAATGCCTGGCCTCCTAGAGGTAAGAGATTATCTATGATGCCCTTTGAAATTCTGGACTCTAGTTTGGTTGAGGGCCTATGGCCTGCAGTGGTCTCATCATAGTCTCTTCCCCGCCGGTCCACTGTCCCTCCTGGTGAAACCCAGTCCTGCCGTCCCAGGAGAGAAAGCCAGCCAGCGTGGCTCCAGACAGTTGGTCTTTGCACCCTCAAAAGTGCTCTGACTCCTACTTCTGCTGAGTAGAGACCAGCCCGCTGGTCTTGCTGAGTGCTATGCCCCACCCTACACTCCTTGGCCTCCTCTCATGGCACCTTGCCCGGGACACCTAAGGCTGTCATGCCTGATTTCCATCTCCCCATCATATCCAGTTCACATGTCCTAGGATTGTGTTCAAGATGAGTCAAAATAGCAGAAAGAAATGGAAAATGGCAGGAGAGAAGTGAAGGGGCAGAGCAGAATGGGCCTCGTCCCGAGCTCACAGGTTTCTTTCTACTACTGCAGGCCAAGGTGCTGATACAGCCAGCAGAGCCTTATTGGAAGGGTCAATCGCTGCAGGTCAGCCAGCACAGGGATGTTCTCAACACTCTGCAAGGGCAGGCATGAGGCAGAAGTGTGTGGTTAGCATAGGAAAAAAGGTAAAAGTGATCTTTTTATGTATCTAGGGTCCTTTTTGAAAAAAAACAAAAAACTAGAGGAACTAAACAAGAAATGGACGAAACTTATGAAAGTTCAACATAGTTGGCACGGTTCGTTGTGTGATTTACAACAGAACAATCCAAGTCTGGGAATTATACTATTGTGTTTAATGTTGGAGTCCTTGAGAAATGCAAAAGCTTGATTCACTCAGTTACTGACAGGTTGGAGGTTCAAGTCCACCTGGAGGTGTCTGGGAAAGAAGGAGTGATGATCTACTTCTGAAAAAGCAACCAGTTAGAACCCCATGGAGTACAGGTCTACTCTGACACACATGAGTCTTAACTGATTCCACGGGAACTGGTGCTGGTGGTCTTTAGGTGGCTTTTATGTTGGGTCTGTGGGACAAGGCAATTCCCCTGAGGATAGGGAAAGGGGTTTTCCTGGAAGGGAGTTGCCTTCTAATTATGAGAGAAAGAGACAGCTCCTGGGACAGGAAATAGGGTATTTGGTAAAGGAAGAACATTCTCGTCTTGACCTGGGCTCCAAGGAAGGTGCTATGCTGCCTGACACTGCCTGGGGTGTGGGCTCTGGGAAGCTGCCACCACAAGGAGTTCTGTCAGGATGCAGCTGGCAGGCAGAGGCAGGCTGAGAGGGCATGGGCACGACTCCTTCTCTGCCTTTGGAAGATGCTGGGCCTGGAGGCTCTTCTACATAAGAGCTGCTACTTGTCCTGTCCTAGCAACCTGTGGGACTCTTGTTCCTGAAACACATTGTCGGGCTCATTAGCTGCTGCTTCTCTTTTCTCTCCCTTTATTGACAAGTGTTTTTTGAGTGTCTACTGTGTGGTTTTCATAGGTGATAAAAAAAGAAGCTAGAGTTGTTACTGTACTGTCAAATTGGTTCCAATTCACAGTGACCCCTATGTATAACAGAATAAAACACTGCCCGCCTCTGTGACATCTTTACAATTGTTATATTTAAGCCCACTGTTGCTGTCATTGTGTACTCCATCTCATTTAGGGTCTTCCTCTTTTTTTGCTAATCCTTCCCTTTACCAAGCACGATGTCATTCTCCAGGGACTGGTCCCTCTCCTGACAACACGTCCAAAGTCTGAGAGACAAAGTCTTTCTATTCTTGTTTCTAAGTTTTCTTGCTGCAATTCTTCACAACAGATTTCTTTGTTTTTCTGGCAGTCCAAAGTACTTTCAATACTCTTCATCAATACCATAACTCAAATATATCAATTCTTCTACAGAATTCCTTATTCATTGTCCAACTTTCAAATACGTATCATTGAAAATAACAAGGCTTGGGTCAGGCACACCTTCATCCTAAAACTGACATCTTTGTTCTTTAACATTTTTAAAGAGGTCTTTTGCAGATTTGTCTAAGGCAATAAATCATTTGATTTCTTGACTGCTGCATCCATGCGTGTTCATTGTGGACCTAAGCAAAGTAAGTCTTTGACAACTTCATGATAAACAGAGAAAAGATTGATGTTATTTATTGGTGTAGTTGTATTATTGGTCTAATTTTCTTTACATTGAGGTGCAATCCATACCAAAGGCTAAAATCTTTGATTTTTATTATATGTATTTTAAGTCCTCTTAGCTTCCAGCAAGCAAGGTTATGTCATCTGCATATCACAAATTGTTAATGAATCTTCCTCCAATCCTGATGCTGCATTCTTCATAATATTGGCCAGCTTCTGGTTATTCTTTGCTCAGTGTACAGACTGACTAAGTATGGTGAAAGGATACAACCCTTGCACACTCCTTTCCTGATTTTAAACCATTCAGTACCCTCTTGTTTTGATGGCTGCCACTTGGTCTATGTACAGGTTCCTCATGAGCACAATCAATGTTCTGGGATACCCATTCCTCACAGTACTTGCTATGATCATAGTTTGCTATGAGTCGATACCGACTCAATGGCATCTAACAACAACAAGCATCTTTCTGGTATTCTCTGCTTTCAGCCAAAATCCATCTGACATCAGCAATGATATCCCTTGTTCCATGTCCTCTTCTGAATCTGGCTTGAATTTCTGGCAAGTCCCTGTTGATGTGCTGCTATAACCGTTTTTGTTTTTTTTACAAAAATCATACAAACATTTATTAAGCAAAAATATTAAAATATGAAACTTGTTTCTCAACATATCCTCCACCTACATCTATACATTTCTGAAGGCCCTATTTCTACCTTGCTAACCTTTTTTATTCTATATTACTAAACATACTGACAGTTAAGATTCACATTAATTCTTTGAATCTTCCTGATTTATGAGCAAAGGATATCATTTCAAAATCTTTCCTTTAACATAGAAACACATCGCTGAAAATTGATAGTAAATATTATGCCTACCCTAGCAAAAAGGAGCTCTGGTAGTGTAGTGGTTATGAATTGGGCTGCTAACCTCAAGGTGGGCAGTTTGAAATGACCAGCTGTTCCACAGGAGAAAGATGAGGCTTTCTGCTCCCCTAAAGATTTGCAGCCTCAGAAACCCTGTGCAGGGTCACCAACTCCACGGTACTTAACAATAACAACAACCACCACCCTAGCAAAACAGAATATATCAGTAAGAGAAAACATCCTAACCACCATGTCATCAAAAAAAATCATTACAACTAAAGGACTATTTCTATTTACCATTTTTTCCAAAAATCTTTTATCCTTCCTATTTTAGAATATATCCTGAAATTATTTATCTTCGTCAACAACCATTTTTAAATTATCTTCAGCAAAATATCACTTGGATGTGAGATTAATGATATTGTTAGATGATTTTTGCATTCCATTAGATCACCTTTCTTTGGAAAGAGCACAAATACTGATCTCTTCCAATTGGTTGCTCAGGTAGTTTGCTTCCAAATTTCCTGGCACAGAGGAGTGAGCACCTCCCGCTCTGCATCATTTGATAAGACATTTCAATTTGCATTCCGTCAGTTTCTGGAGTCAACTTGTTTTTCGTTAATGCTTACTTCACAGCCCAGATTTCCTCCTTCAATATCATTGGTTCTTGATCATATGCTACCTCTTGAAATGTCTGACCATCAAAGAATATTCTTTCCAATTTCTTTGGACACCTCTAACATCATTCAATATTTTGCCCATAGAATACTCCAATATTGCAAGTTGAGGCTTGAATTTTCTTCTTCAGTTCTTTCAGCTTGAGAGAGGCTGAGCATGTTCTTCCCTTCTGGGTTTCTAACTCCAAAATCAGCCCTGGTTGGGGACTGAGGCTTCAGTCAGTTAAGTGGCCAATGGTGAGTTTAAGAACATTCTAGAATTGATCAAAGTGGGCAGGGGAAGGAATGAGCCTCTTTTAGTCAGTGGTGGAGAGTAGGGCTGCAGTTCCCACTGGGAAGGCAAATGGAGTTAAGAGCATACAGCTAGGGTCTGATCAGTTCCTCCATCTCCTACTCCATGGCTCTGCGAACCACTTTCATTCAGTTCTATAATTCATCTGTAAACTGGGATGATGAAGTGTTCATATCTTAGGTTGACCTCTCAGGTACAGTTTTGTCACCCGCAACATTGCCCATCTCCAGAAAGCCAAAGAAGATAGCCGTGAGCCCTCTCCTTTTATTGAAGCTACTAGTCATCAGCTGAACCATGTGGCTGACCCTAAACTATGACCCCTGAAAATTCCAAATAAAACAACTTCCACTTCTTGAATTCTCTCTCCTGAATTGTACCAAGGCCTTTAGCCAAACTTTGAAATTTAAACCTAAACCAGTTATTTGACATTACTGATTCTCATGTGAAACTCAAATAATTTGGAAATTAAACTGTGGATCAAACTGTTGTTAGCTGCCACCATGTTGGCCCCTAACTCATGGGAACCCCATGCATAATGAGATCAGACTGTTGGGATCCACAGGGCTTTCCTCAGCTGATTTTCAGTTAACTGCCAGGTTGTTTTTCCTCATCTATTTCACTTTAGAAGCTCTGCTGAAATCTGTTCAGCAACATGGCAACTGGCAGATAATAGTGGCTGAGAATTGAACCATGAAAGGGGAGAATTCTACCACTGAACTACCCTCCATGAATTGAGCTACAAGTTCCTGCCAGAAAAAGCAATCCTCATGGACCACTTCAGATGAGAGACAGCTGCTAAATGCTTTCTAAAAGCAACGTGGGGCTGTAAAACATTCTACAACAATCTTGCTTCAGATCTCCAGTGCAAGAGGTAGAGTTACCTTAATGGACAGAGAGCCCGTCTCTCTGTTCAGGGACAGGTCGGCGGAAAGGGAGGTGCAGTAGTCCATGCTCTCGGAGGTGGAGAGGCTGCCACAGTCTGAGTCCCTCTTGGATGGGCCTGAAGCTGCCTGGGCTGTGGGCTCCAGGCTGCCATTGGCGAGCTTTCCGTCACCCAAAGTCTCCAGAGCACTGCTGCTTGGCCGGCTCTGGCCTGACTTCTGGGACCTATTGGCAGCTGGATTGTGGTCTCCCCAGTCAGTGACCGGCTTCTCCTTGGCTATCTGAATCCTGGCATCCATGGATACTGGCCGGGACTTCCGGAGAGGTGTAGGCACAGCTGGGCCATTCTCATTTCCAGGGGCCACATCTGGGGGGTTGGTGGTTTGGAGGGAAATGTCTGCAGGGGGCTGGCTGCAGGGCCCATTCACGCTGTCCTGAGGCTGATTTGGCGTCGGTGGGGTAGAAGATGATTCCTTTGGAGGCATGTCAACATTGAGGCTCGGCTGACTCACCTCAGAAGTGTCCTGAGTATGGCTCCCCACAGACTAGAGGGAAAAAAAAAAGACAGTTAAGGTCATGCTGCTGTAGGTCTAGGGGCAAGTCAGAGACATAGAGAGCTGGAAAGTCAGACCCTGACCAAGTGACACGGGTTAGGGCCAGGGGAGTCAAACAGGCAGAAGTCTCTAGTAAGCCACAGTCCTCCCCACTCCCTACTGCCTAATCAACAATAAAATTACTACTTGCTTTAAGGAATAGAAATCTGATTGTGTCTAATTTTTGCTTCATTTTATAGCTACTGTTCCTACTAAGAGTAGTCTTTGAGTGTTGCAAATGATTAATGTTCTCAGCTGCTAACTGAAAGGTGCCTCAGAAGAAAGGCCTGGAGATATACTTTTCAAAAATCAGCTACTGAAAAACCTATGTAGCATAGTTCTACTCTGGCACATGGGGAACACTTGTTGTGTGCCATCGAGGTGCTTCCAATTCATGGTGACCCTCTATAGAGTTTCCCAGACTGGAAATCTTTCTGGGAAAGAAAGCCTCATGCTTCTCCACAGAGTGGCTAGTGGTTTTAAACTGCTGACCTTGCAGGTAGCAGCTCAATGCATAACCATTCAGGGCCACCTAGTAAGTCTCAACTCAATGACAATGAAGAGTGAAGGGGAATGTCCCCAGCAGGACAGCTCAGGCCTTTAGTGTTGACAGTAATTGCTGTGTGGTGGTCAGTTGTGACAATGGAGGGGAAGAGGCCCAATTATGGCCAGATCTTCTCATTTTTCAAGAGAAATGAAAAAATCTGGAGTTTTACTCACATCTCCAGATTTTTCTATGGCAGTGAATTCAAAAGTCTTAAAAACTGTGTTAAGGCCAAACAAAACCTATCTGTTGGTTGGATTCAATCTACCAGCTACCAAGTTTTGAGTTTTGTTTGATATGTGTTTTTGCAGGGTAGAGGCGTGTTACAGAGTGCTGGAAACATTGCTAGGATGAAACAGAAAAATAGAACATCCATTTCTGTGGGTCAGACACAAATGTCCAGCTTAATGGATAAAGTGAGAAGGCGTACAGATACCTTCCAGGTCAGGAGTGGCACCTGCCACCTCCCAAGGGGCTCCTTCCTGCTCCTCACCCTGTGTAACCCCTCCCTCTCTTCCATGTGACTTTCTACCTTTGCATCTAGGATCCATCTCTAAATGTTATGTTGTCCTTGAGAACATCAGTCATTGAAATCCCTTAGAGTACAGATCTACTCTGGCACGCATAGGCCTGCCACAAATCAGAGTCGACTTGATGACCACTAAATGCTGTAGAGTAGGTTTGTCTGCTTTAAAACTCTGTATAAATGAAATTACACTGTAAGTGTTCTTTGGGGTCCTTCCAGCCACAGGTTTTTGACTTTGGTTAAAGTAGCCACTAGAAGCTATTCCAATCCTCCTTCCCTTCAGCACCCAGAGTTGGTTTCCAAATTCAGAGCTGATCTGTTATCCCCTAACCAACACCCAGGTCCTGTCCAAAACCCTTCAGTCCCCACCACCCACCAGGGCCCTCACAATGAAGACCGGCTTCTAGCCTGTAGAGAGCAAGGCTGCGGTGACCACTTTCTACCTCCCTCTCCAGTCCCTCTGTCTATCATCTCTTCCTGGAAACAGGCCTAGCAAGCTGTTTCCCTCCCACCTTGGTTCTCTTACTCACTGCCTAGACCTGACTCTGACACTTATCTGTTCAGCCAGCCACTTGACTTCTCAGACCTCAGTTTTTCCATCTGTACATTGGGGTCTTGGTTCCTCTCTTTTGTAGGCATCAGAATTGCTACAGGTACAAGGCTTGCAGAATATGCCCAGCACTCATTCCGGAAGGGTTTAGTCAATAGCTGTGGCTACTATACTGATTCCAAAGAGCCCTGGTGGTGCTGTGGGATAAGTATTGGGCTGCTAACTACTAGGTCGGCCATTCAAACCTAGTAGCCACTCTGTGGGGAAAAGATGAGGCTGTCTGTTCCTGTAAAGATTTATAGAAACTCTGTCTTGAGTCACTATGAGTTAGAATCCACTCAGTGGCCGTGGGAGGTGGGTGGTACTGATACCTCTTGCCCTCTTCAAAGCTTGTCATTCTGGTGAAGATTTGCACCAGACTCAAGCTGCTCCCATGATTGAATCAACTCGAGGAAGCCATTGTTTGGGCCTGCATGGGACAAGTCCGGTCCCTGCTCAACTAGGTACTATATATCAGGACAAATACTCTCTCTTATCATCCCACCAACAAGCCCTTCCCAAGTAGTCAGACGAGAGGTTAAGAGCAGTCACTTGGGACGGAATCAGGCCCCAGAATGTACTTTGCTTGGTGTATTTTATTTTAATATAAATGAGCTCAGAGAGCTGCTCAGCAAATACTACAGCTACAAGTGGGTTACCAGTATGCCAAGACAGGGTCCTCTTGGCCCTCTGGGCAGCCAGGCGGGGTCTGCCACTTCTGACTCCACGTGGCCTCCTCCATTTCTCCCAAAGTGTAGTGAGTCTCATTTTGCATGTGAATCAATGTGAAAAAGGTTGAGAAGAACTGACTTACTGTCAGCTTTTAAAATCTGGAAGATTCCATGTGAAAATCAAGATTCCTGGTTTCTCCTGGAAATGTCTGGGATCTGTACAGCACCCCCACTGTGTCTCCCCGGCCCACTCACCTGTCTCATATAACCTGCGGTAGAACCCTCCTTCCATCTCCCGGCCCAGAGTCCTGCCCACCCCAGCCCCCAGTCCCTTGGGCCTTACAGGGGTGGCCTCCACAGACTCCTCCTCTTCTGCTTCCTCTCGGCCATCTTCGATCTCCTCCATCACTTCCGCCTTGGCCTCCGCCACTAGTTCCCGCAGAGCCTTGTTACTGGTGATGCTGCTGACGAAAGGGTGCTGAGAGGGCAAGACACACCTGAGTCAGAACCACTTCAGAGCAGGATGTGGGGAGCCTATCATCTGGGTTGAGACCAAGCAGCCCCCAGAAAAATGTGAACATGATCTTGGTAAGGGAGGCCTGTGTATGGTACAGCATGACTTCTAGCTCTGCCACTTACTAGCTGTGTGACTCTGAGCATGTTGCTTAACCTTTCTGAGCTAAAGGCTCCTCCAGTGAAGACAATCACACAGATCCCATGGATAGATCGTGAGGATTCGATGACACTATGCATCTGGAAGTGCTTATCCAGGGTACAGGATCAAGCATCGTTTGTTTTCTTTTTTCTTTTCTTAAGGCTTTAGTGTATGGTTGAAAAAAATGTACTATCTAAATGTTCTATTACTAGCTTAGTGACTAACCAAAAGGTTGGCTGGCGGCTTGCGTCCACCCAGAGGAGCCTCAGAAAAGCCTGCGGACCTACTTCTGAGACTTCTTTGACACATGTGTGGTTGCCATGAATTCTAATTCAGTCTACTGCAAATGGTTACGACTGGTTAGCTATTTTACTGAAATCTAACTTCAATATAGGGAAGTTCACAAATCTTAACATTGCAACTCAGTGACTACAGGGTTGCTATGAGTCCAAATTGAGCCACAGCACACAGCTACTACAACTACACACACCATTAACTACCATCCAGCTCAGAATGCAGAGCATTTCCATTATACCAGAAAGTACCTTTGTACAGGCAGCTCCAGATTTCTAATGAGTTCCATTCCTAATTGGTCTTTAAGTCTGTACATAAGTCAGCACACTTTGTTGTTAAGCACCATCGAGTCAGTTCCAACCCATAGCCACACTAGGACTCCAGGTATGGTTTCTATCTAACATCAGTTAGTCAAATGTCTGTCTCAGTATAAGTGTACAATGTACTTTTCTATGCATATTGTTGTTGTTAAGTGCTGTTGAGTTGTTCCAACTCACAGCCACCCAGTATCAGGTTTCCGTGGAGCGGTGGGCTTGAACTGCTGACCTTGTGGTGAGCAGTTCTGTGCTTGTCCTACAGCACCACAACAGGACGCCTTTCTATGTATAAAAAAACATCAAAGAAACACTGCCAGATACACTAAAACTTCTTAATATAATGCAGTCATAATAATATTTTAATGTGCATCATAAGGTAGTGTATAAGGAGCTCTGGTAGCATAGTGGTTACAAATTGGGCTGCTAACTTCAAGGTCGGCAGTTCGAAACTACCAGCCATTCCATGGGAGAAAGGTGAGGCTTTCTGCTCCTGTAAAGATTTACAGCCTCAGAAACCCTGTGCAGGGTCACTAAGCCAGACCCAACTTCACGGCACTTAACAACAATAAGGTAGTGCATATTGTAAATTATTAACCATTGCATGTACCTCACATCTTTTATTTAATACGCTTTACAGGGGGTTGTTTCTAAGACCAAGTTGGTTCCTAACTATAGATTAGCTCTGGTTTTGACCTGAGGTTGTATGTAAATTGGAATGTTTGTAACCTAGGGACTTCTGTATCCCCTCCCAATCAATCCCCACAGTTGCTCATCTCCAGACACTGGTTCTGCCTGCTCCTTCACTTCACTTAAAACACAGTTATATGGAATGCAGCTTTAGGTGTCTGGCTTCCTCGATTCAAACCCGGCATGTGTGGTTACTGTTAATTGCCATCAAGTGGATGCTAGTGTGCAGAGTAGAACTGCTTCACAGGGCTTTCAAGACTGGCCTTTTGGAAACAGACCACTAAGCCTGTCTTTTGAGACGTCTCTAGGTGGGTTTGAAGTGCCAACATTTTGGCTAGTAGCTGAACGTATACCTTGGCTTGCTCTGCTCAGCATGATGCCTGTAAGGTTAACCTCTGTCATTGTGTGCATCAGGAATTTGTGCCTTTTTCATTCTTAGGGCGTACTCCACTGGATGAATGGGTCAGTTTGTTACTCCATTCTGCTTGTTTTTTGATATTTGGATATTGGATATTTGGTTTGGATTTTAGATATTTGGGTTGTTCCTTCCTCATTTTTAGTCCTGGTGTGGTGCTATAAGATAAGCACTGGACTGCTAACCACAAGGTAGGTGGTTCAAACCCACCAGCTACTCCTTGGAAACCTTATACAGGGTCACTATAAATCAGAACCAACTCAACGGGCACTTAACAACAACAATAAATAGAACAGCTGTGAACATTCTTGTATTCTATCTTTAGTTGGATTTACCTGTTTGGCTTTAAGAAAGAAAACACAAACCCTTGAGGCAGAGTAATGTTTATTCTAGGGAGCCCTGGTGTGGCACTGTACGATAAGCAGTGGACTACTGAGGTTGCAGTCCATGGGAGAAAATTATGGCTTTCTCTCTTGTAAAGATTTACAGTCTCAGAGACCCTCCACAGGGTCACTGTGAGTCGGAACCTACTTGATGGCAGTGAATTTGAAGTTTCTTTAGGAATATGTTGTTGTTGTTAAATGCTGTCAAGTTGGTTCTGACTCATAGGGTTTCTAAGGATGGCTAGTGGGTTTGAACTGCAGACCTTGCAGTTAGAAGTCCAGATGTCTTAGGAATATGAAGATAGGTCAAAAAGTATTGCTACAAAAATATTAAAATATGAAGCTATTTCTTGATAGATCATCCATCTAGCTGTCTAGACTTCTGAAGATGATGCTTCCATCTCTCTAACCTTTCCCAGAAGAATTCTGCACTCTTTGATTTGTTGTTGTTGTTGTTAAGTGCTGTTGAGTCAATTCTGACACAGAGAGACTCTGTATAGGGTTTCCGAGGAGTGACTGGCAAGCCTGAACTGCCAAACTTGTGGTTCAAACCGACCTTGCAGTCCAGCACATTAACCCACAGCGCAACACCAGGACTCTTTGATTTATACATCCATATCAAAACAGCAGTTTGGGCAACAGTGAGGGACTCCACTCATGTTCCTTTGAAATGTTTTTTTGAGTTTGGGGAAGGGGCAAGGCCAGGGCTATATGGTGAATGGCGTAATATTTACTAACAAAATTTTTGTAGGACAGCTCTTGCTACCCTCAAAGAATCAACAGGCGCATTGTCTTGATGGGAAAAAAGTTCCTCAACTTTCTTGGCCTTTTTATCACCAGGGCAATTTGCAATTAAAATTAAAAACTGCTTCTTAATAAGCCCCTGCTATTATCCTGTGTGGAGTCCTAATGTGGCACTGTGGGTTAACGTGTTGGACTGCAGAGTCATTAAAACCACAGTTAGTGGTTCAAGCTCACCAGCCACTCCTTAGAAACCTTATAAAGGGTTGCTATGGATCAGAACCTACTCAACAGCACTTAACAACAACCATCATCCTATTTCCTTAGAGAAAATCTGTTAAGATTATCCCTTTTGACTCCTGGGCCCAGAGTCAGTGACATAGCCACAGAGGACTAGAGTGGAGAGTGAAGCATCCAGCTGATAAGAAGAGAGGGCATATGCATAAGAATGCCCACACTTGTAGATAATACCCACTTGACCTGACTTCAATGACTGGATGATCAGAGCTCAACTAGAAGAAGAAAGAAGAGATAAAAAAGAGGGAACAAATCTTTACAGCAAGGATCATTCCCACCC